GACGGTAAAACTGAACAGTGAAAATTGGGCTGGATTTTAATGATTATGATGCTGTTGTGTATTATATCTGTCATTGTTGTTATTTTATTAGTGTCATACATGTAACTACAGCACATAACAATAATACGAAATAACAGTACAGTGAAAATAGTATGTAGGTCGTAATCGTTTACTGCCTTGAATTTGGGGGTCAGTCTTCCTATGAACACCGGTTATTGTTGTTCTTTATCACAGTCAGACATACTCTTGCAACTCAAAGAAAGTGGAAATACCAGTGTTGAGATAATGTGTTGAAGGTAATTTTCTATGACGGTTTGTTGTGTCTGGTATGTAATTGTATGTACGTAATTATGTAGACAGTTGCAACTAACAGAAACTGGTGTGTGTGTGTGTGTGTGTGTGTGTGTGTGTGTGTGTGTGTGTGTGTCAGGATACACACATACATGAATCCCTAACTAGTTTGGTTCACACATGTTTCGGAAGTTTCCAACACTCTTTGGCTCCTCCTGTGACAAGAGGAAGAAGAAGAAGACCTCCACAACTCTCTTATTACGCACCATCACATTAGTCAGTTTTTTTTTGTTCTGTCACACACACACACACACACACACACACACACACACACACACACTCACACACACACACACACACACACACACACACACACACACACACACTCACACACACACACACACACACACACACACACACACACATTACTACCCCTTTTTTACACTTTACTCTCACGGAAAGTCATAATATATAGACAATATTTTGCAATATACCACTGAGTCATAACCTTTGACACCATCTCATTATGAATCGACATTTATTCAGACTACGTCGACAGACTTACAGATATTACACCGGCAGATCACCAAAACACATTGTCATATTACATTATCCAGGAGCCAACCGTAGGTACGGATATGGGTGTCTTACGGTATAGGAACCCACAAAGCTCTCAAACAGTCTTCTGGCAGTACGGTATTCCGTTTTCGATAATGTTACCGTGTATATATTGTAATATAATCAGTGTTATTAATATTTGCTCTATTGACTCACATATTTTTATAACATGTCAACAGAAACACTTGGTCTAACTGTTAAGGAGCGTGTCTCGAGTATTGTTTCAATGATAGTCTTTTTTATGAAGCTGAATCGAATGACACTTAATTGTTTCGAGTTTTGAACTCTGTTCAAAATAAACTGAAAAGTATTGAGAATAAATTGCAAAAGGGGTGCAGATACCACTAATTACTACTACTACTACTACTGTACTACTACTTTGCTGTCACTCGGAATCGAGTATGACGGTTATTCAGTTATGTTACAATGATATGAGTTATTGAAGATATCACCTTCGTTGGTGAGCTCTGAACTGACTCGGGAGGTCGATACGGGACCGTCCACACATGTTGCACGTGTGGAGGGCTACATCTAGTGCAGGAGGGGCGGTCTTTCCGGCGCTGGCGCTTGTTTACCTGTGTATGCAGTCGCGATAACTCGAAAGTATTGACACCTTCTTGTGTGGTGCTCCTCCAAGCTTTACGGTGAGGAGTGATCGTCTCGCAGGTGAGGGGGTTGACTTGGCACCTTTTCAGGTTTGTCTTAAGACTATCCTTAGACCATTACAGTCGCCCGCCAACGTTACGTTTACTATTCGTTAGGTGACTGGAAAGTAGCTGCTTTGGCAGTCTACTTCCGTCCATGCGGGTACCATGGCCAGTCCAATGTAGTTATTCATGGATAACGGTAGCCTTGATGCTCCTACAGTTGGTGTCAGCGACAATACTGGCATTTTTTCTCTTGTCCTCCCAGCGAACTCGGAAGATGAAGCATACACTACATTGGTGAAAGTATTCAAGTACCTTGAGGTGCCTCCTGTATGTAACCCATGTCTCACTGCCATACAGCAGGGTGGGGAGGATCACTGATCGATATACGTGCAACTTTGTAGATAATTTCAGCTCCCTACAGCTGAAGACATGGGTATGGAGTTGGCCAAAGCCGATGTTGAAACTCTATATATCTGCCCGTGGTGGTGGACAAGTAGGAGCCAAGGTACTGAAAGTAGGTAGTACCGTTAATCTGGATGGATGGTGGAGGTGTTATTGAACCCGGGGTAAGCTGAAAGAGAATCTAAGACTTACGTAAAGTCTCGTTCAAGATTCTTCCAACACTGCTCGAGTCAACTGACAACTTAAGGCCGTTTGTTTACCATAGTACGTAGTAAAAAATATGAATGAATATAAAAGGTTATCGATGATTGGTTACTTAGTTCCCCTGTTGCTTAAATAATGGTTGGGCTTTCTTGTTTCGTATTATATTATACTATAGTACGTACTAAAGTAAACAAACGGCCTTGAGTTGCCAACTGTCTCCAGCAGTGTTCGAAGAATCTTGAACGAGACTGTATATTCACCTCAAGGGCAAAATGTGCATCCACTTACACAGGTGTTCAATATCTCCTTGAATGTCGCGTTCATTGAGAGCGACGAGGGTGAGATCGTCTGCATACTGAAGTTTAGCGATGAAAGCGGCTGATACCTCTGTTCATGCCTGGAGTCGTCTTATGTTGAAAATTCCTTTCATCCCATACTGGATGTCCACCCTACCGGTTAAATTGGCACTGGCACTGGTAAGGAAAGCAGTCAAGACATTCGAAAAAAAATTTGGTGCCATTACACATCCTTGTTTTACCCCCGTTTGGTTGGGGAAGAACTCAGACTGGGTGCCATTATGCAGGACGCAGCCGCTTATGCCATCGTGGAGTTGCCTCACATTGGCGATGAATTTTGGTGGGCAGCCAAAACGACTGAGGGTCCACCAGAGGTCTTCTCTGTTGGCTGAGTAGAGGGCCTTTGTAAGGCTTATGAGGCCATGTACAGGTCATAACCTTGCTCTCTGCACTTTTCCTGTATCTGGCGGGCAACAAAACTCATGTCAGTAGTGCCACGTGATGGTCTAAAACCATACTGAGATTCTGGGAGGAAGTTTTCCGCCTCAGGAAGAAGTCTGTTTAGGAGGACTCGGGCGATAATCTTGACAGCTACAGACAGCAGCAAGATCCCACGGTAGTTGTCACAATCTGACCGGTCTCCCTTGTTCTTATAAATATTGACAATGGAGGCGTCTTTAAGAGCTTGGGGTACTTGCCCCTTCTCCCATATATTCTCCAGGAGAGAGTGGAGACGGCTGGTAAGCAGAGGTCCTCCTGCTTTATACACCTCAGCTGGGATTCAATCAGGCCCTGTGGCTATGTTATCTGCTTTATGACAGTAGCTACCTCACCCAGGGATGGAGGATAGCTGAGGTGGACACACACACACACACACCATCATCTCCTGACATCTACTATGGATCGTTGTCCTCCTGAACGTCGAGGTCAGGCGAACCACCAATCTAACTTTGCCTGTAATTATAGTGTGTGTGTGCGTGTGTGTGTGTGTGTGTGTGTGTGTGTGTGTGTGTGTGTGTGTGTGTGTGTGTGTGTGTGTGTGTGTGTGTGTGTGTGTGTGTGTGTTTATTCAATAGTGTAAAAACATCTATCATTTAACCCAGTGATTAATACACTTGTTGACTTTATAAATATGCACATTATAACCTGTCTATTGCCATGATCCAGCTATAGTTTGTTCAGTATTAGACAATAGTTCCATTTATGTTGCCATTTTGTATCGCCATAATTATAAAATGTTGCTAATATTCACTCTACAATCCCCCAGTATTGACATATTTCACCTTATAAGATATATGCCATATCTCTTCAATAATAATCAATGGTGCCATTTTTCTCTCAATGTTTGGAGGTGAGATATTATTGCCATGTGATAAATTCTGGATGAAAGAGTTGCCATATTTAACTGCTATTACTCTTTTAACTTACAAGGTTGCCAATATCCAGCCCACTAACTTGCACTATTGCCTTTCCTAATAAATATGGCAACTTTTCGCGCCGCACCTTCTGGGGTTCACATAAATTCACCCCTTGTATTTACTGTGTTGCAACATTGTCATTACTGTCCGTTTCATTTAAAATTATTGCTACATTTTACTCATAATCTTTCTCAACTTAAAATGTTAAATAGTTCTTATGTATTTACTCATAATATTGGTATACGTTTTTCTCTCGACTCATAAAATTTACGTAATTTATTATGTTAATTCGTAATTTTTACATATTTTTGCCAGTTGACTTACAGTATTGCCAATATTATGGATCTAATTTACAGTGTAGCCAGATGCCCTAACTTCCTGCTTTAAGTAATACCAAATTCGACAACCTCTCCTACTAAATTTACAGTATTGCCAATTTCCTTTCGATCTAACTTACATCGTTGCCAATACCCCTTGTCCTAGTAACTTAAACTTGCTACTTACCTGCCAACTAACTTACACCGTTGCCAATATATCAAGAGTTTCCTAATTTGCAGTATTTCCTTCTCTTACTAACTTGCAGCGTTGCCAACTCCCTTGCCCATGTAGCCCTCATCCTTATCAATTATTTGCAATGTTACTAAGGTCATCATTTGTTCAACTTGATGTCCATTGTTGCCAAGTAAAATTTCTCATCCTCAGTCTCTTTCGATGTTGCCAATGATCCTTGAGTTAATATATCACATCGTTGTCAATATTTCAGGCTCTTAACTAGCAGTGTTACCAATTTCCCCTTTATAGTATTTAAATTGATGCCAAATCTCCTACATATATCGTTGCTAGATATCCTTCCCTACCACCATAAATCGTTGGCAATACTTCACGAACTAGATTCAGTTTTACCAATATCTTACCCATAAGAACTCACATCGTTGCCAGAACAAAAAATCCTTGTTTTAGGAGCTTACATTTGCATCATTGCCAATATCTCACAAATACTCTTCATTTTCAGTATTGCCAATTCCCCTTCCAAGGTATAATTCCCTCTCCAGGTAACTCACATTATTGCCAATATCTCATTAATACTCCTAATGTGCAGTATTACCAATTCCCCCCTACAGTGCCACTCTCACCCTTGAGTCCTGACTCTGCCCTGGACGAGGCTTCGGGGGAAGAGGAGGTCATCACAGAGGTCAACCCGCAGGTCACCGAACCCCAGGTAACTCATTCTTGACCTTTGAACTGTGGCAGTGATTGATAAGTGTTAGTTCCTGAAGCATATGTGAGTGTGAGCGTCTTTCTTTCTTTCTTTCTTTCTTTCTATCATCATCATCATCATCATCATCATCATCATCATCATCATCATCATTATTATTATTATTATTATCATTATATAACTAATAAAAAAATTATTATCATCATCACAAACTTATTCACAACATTAAACACTCACAAAAACAACACCAACAACAACACCAACAACACCAACAACAACACCAACAACAACACCAACAACACCAACAACAACACCAACAACACCAACAACAACACCAACAACAACACCAACAACACCACCAACAACAGCAACAACAACAACAACAACAGCAACAACAA